TCCCTGACGGGGGGGCCCCAGAGCCTACCAGAAGTTAATATAAAACCCTTCCCTATTGGAAGTCTAAGTACCGTATAGCACAATTAATAGGAACATTTTATTTGAGTGAATTATATGAAAAGAAAGGATATCTATAAATGTTTTATTATTCAAAAAAAAATTGGTTAGATAAGTTTATAGTGTATATTATATATAATTTTTTACTAAATGTCAAAGACTTCCTTAAATACAACATTGTCTGTAAATACAGTATTTGCCGTTTCGTTGGAATTTGCTGGTGTATCAAGCATTATTTTGATTGTAGAAGGTTTTCTGACCTGGGATAGAGCAATATACAGCTGACCATGGGAGAATACTGGGGCAGGGAGATATAATCCAACGCTCTCAAGAGTTTGACCTTGTGACTTGTTTATTGTCATTGCAAATGCAAGACGAACTGGATATTGGAACTGCTGGAATTCAATTTCACCATTTGATCCAGATGGATTAAGCTTTATTCTTGGAATAAGAGATACTTGCCCGGCATTGGATCCAGTCACAATTGTTGTTCTGATGACAGATGTTCCAAAAGAGTTGCAAATCAGGCGTGTACCATTACAGAGGCCGTTTTTTGGGTCAAGATTGCGAAGAAGCATGATAGGACATCCTTTTTTTAAGGACAGTGAGTGAGGTTGTAGGGATCCAGGATCAATGGTATTTCGTAGCTCAACTGGATATGTCAACTGACCATCTTCATCAATTCCCTGGTCAACACTCTTAAACTCTTGTGCCTCTCCAGAAAACTGGCTCAGAAGAATATCATTGAGTTTATTGACATCTTTATTCTTAGGAGTAAGCAAAGCACGGCCCATGAGAAAATGAGGGTTGGCTGCATTAGAGGAGAGATCATGAAAAACTGCTTTGGCCAGATCAGCAGGATTACATCCAGAAAGTAACATATGGGGCGGAATTGGGATGGTGTCATCACCGCCTGTTGTGTGGGCAGAACCACTACCAACTTGCAAGAGAAATGCTTCAAATTCCCTAAGCTCTAATGTTTCTTGTTCATTATTTGCTTGGGCAATTCGCATGTTTGTTGTAAGCCGCAAGGTTTTTACATTTCTCCATGCAGATGCTTTCTTGATACATTGGCTTACAACCTGAGCTCTTGTTGCCTTGGGTATAACAAGAAGGACCTGCCAAAAATCGCCTCCAAAGACAAACAACTTCCCTCCAAATGGAACGTTTTCAAGCAATGGATCGACAGCCTTCATTATATCTTGCATGGATCTGCTTACAGTATTAAAAACATCTTTACTAATCATAGAAGCTTCGTCCCAGATAACCAATTCCGTTCTTCTAATAAGTTGTGCCGTTTGCGAGTTTGCGTTGATGGAGCACAAGGAGTTAAGATCAACTTGCACTGGAATCTTAAACCTGGAATGTGCTGTACGCCCACCGTCTAGCAGCAATGCAGCAATTCCACTTGTTGCTACTGCAAGAGCAATTTTTCCTTGTTGGCGAGTTTTTTGAAGCAAGGCATTAAAGACAAATGTCTTTCCCGTCCCACCTGGACCATCGACAAAGTACAATCTTGAGGCTCCCACGTTTTCTTCAATTGCACTTAATACTGTTGTATAGACACGTCTTTGTGAATTATTGAATGTCAATGTATCTGGATCTGGCAAAAGCTGGGATTGATCGCATAAATCTTCTTGTTCTTGTATGATGGCTTGAACATCTTGCCCATTTGGGCTAAAGTGCTGGATGTCAGGCATTGGTGGAAGAACAAATCCAGTGAACAACATGAGAGACATAGAGTTGGCAGATAGATGACTTTCGATATCCCATAAACATCTGTCAAACATATATTGTGTGGGGGCTAACGCAGGAATTCCACTACTTTCTCTTGCCAAATGAAGATAATCTTCAATCATAGAATCGCGATGAGCAAGCCACAAAGAGAAAGGATCTGATACTGCACAGAAAATCAAAAGAATAGCAAAGAGTCTTCGTAAAGAAAATGGGATCTGATGAGCTGCTGCCTCTTTCATACAGTTACTCCACTCATCATCATTCAAAAGTAATCCCAGAGCACGACATGCAGCTTGGTTTGTTTCATACACACATCCTTCTACTGTACATATGTCTTCAAAGCTTTTGGCCCCTTTAACATTATGCAGCAGTAATTGTAACAAATATTTTTCAATATCTCTCAGAGACACTGTGTAAACTCTGCCAATCGTTCCATTATCAAACCTCTTAGGTGCTGTCCATTTTCGTTCTTTTGTATTCCATACATAAAGAGAAGAAAAGTCGACGTAAAGAAGTTTTTCAGATGATGGGTGTGTAGCATTATAGTCGAAATATCCCATTAAAGTAGTGTTTTTTCTGGAATTTGGAACATCCTCTGGGTTAGAAGATGGATTATAATATACGGGTTGGGCATTTTCCAGATGGATTGAAAGTCGTTGATGGCTGGGATACTCTTGATGAAGCTTGAAAGAAAATATTTTCCAGCATGCTTCAGAAGCGGAGACATACCGAGCATCAAGAAACTCATTAACTTTGTTTACATGCTCTTGTTGTTGTTGTGGAGCGGAATTGGTGGGTGTAGGCTGCACACGGGCCATTGCACGGTCATGTCCTTTATATACATATTTGTAGAGGTATTTTACGGCAGAAACAGAGGTGCTAATCTCAACATTTATATGAGCATTGTATTTTGCACATATGTATCTATTGTGTGGAACAACCCATCCATTATCCATGATCTTTGGCCCTCTTCTAATAACTCTTCCATTTCGACTGCGTTGATAAATAGGATATCCGTTTCCACCATCGCTAGTCTCATTGCAAAGCTTTTTAGGATAATTCTTTGAACAGATCACATTCTTCATGCATGGTGCTTTTGGATATTTCTTTCTGCATGAGCCATGCATCATGCATTTTTTTACTGTTTCATATGCCAATGGCTCAGTTTCAGGATCTGGGATTTCAGCCGAAACTATTCTGTCAAAATCTTCTATTGTTTTTGGTTTATCTTGTGGTCGCAAAATCAAAAGAATGTGGGCATGAGGAAGTCCGCGCTTTTGGAATTCAATGACATATATAAAGGCCAAAACTTTCCCCAGAATATTTTTTTTTGTAAGGTCAATCATGAGCTCTTTGAGCTTCATATTGAAAACCCGAGAACAAAGATCTGGTCTGTCATTAGCTTTTTGCCCAGCCAACAGGGAATTTGTGATTTCTGGCCACTTTGAATTGCAAGTGAAAGTTATGAACAAATCAGGCTTGCCAAAACGACGCACAATACTCATTGAATCTTGATAAAGTTGAGCCATATACCGGGGGCTACCAATAAAAGAAGATGGAAGAATAACTCTCTTTCCAAGATTTGCAAGATTACAATTGTTATGGATAACAGCATCCTGAATTCCACTATAAAGATCTACACGGAGACGATTTTGATTGCTGGTGATGAAGTGCAGCCGATCGTGCTCAACTTTGGCATACATATCAACAATATATTGTTGAAAGAGACGGCCAAAAAGATGGAGGAGGTGCTGTGTGTTGCGTCGATACATCAAACGGTTTGAGTACCATTGCATTACTGTGACATGCTCTCCTGACAATGAGCTGGCATCAATGGTCCAACCATCTTCACCATGTGGAAAGAGTAGCACATAGTGTAAAGCATCATAAGATCGGTGGTACTCATTGATGTTCTGTTGGAAGTTGGCTCTGGTGTGCAGCACAATGTCTCTTGAAGTACCCTCTTCATTATTCATAATAAGAACTGCTATTTCACTTGCAGTTGGAGCATTGTACCGTCTTTGATCCTGAGGCCCTGTGAAGTTTTATAGAATAAAATCAACAGTAAAAAGATTGAGACGTATATAAGAATACTTTGAGACTGTATATAGGTTGTCTTTATTAAAGAATACAAAGTTGTCCTTTTTATATCAAAACACGATCTGCTTTGTCAGTCACATCTTAATTTCTTAAGTCTGAGTTCATTTAGATATTAGAGAGCTGGTACTGCTATGTTTATAATTTAATCTAATTGCAGTGTCCTCATATTAACTCAGTGCTTACTGAGCTGTCATAATTACAGTACTTACTGTAATTAATTATTGGTCTTATTGATTTACCATAAGTAAAATAAATAAATTATTCATTTGTTCTTGTAATGATAGCTGTTTTACTATAATAATAGGAATATGTTCTTAGATGTAATAAATCCAACAACCAAGTGTCTGGATCACCACAGGCCCCTCAGCTACTAAACGCAAAGTGAGATCTATAGATTGTCCCTTTTCCCGAGAAATTTGATCCATTGTTCTGAAGAGATGTACGAATGGATTTGTTTCCATAAGAATGGACTGAATCTTCTCCAAAACACTTCTCTCCAATTGTGGAGAATGGTACTGTCTTTGATCTATCTGAGCAGCACTATCATAAATATCGATCTGAGCAAATTTTGGGTGAGCGATATCAGATTCTGTCACTGGCAAAATAGATCCAATTCTATGACAAATTGTTCCGTGAATCCGGAAGTTGTATGCCCCATTGATATTGTTGCCAACAGAGGTATCAATTTTAGCTCCCAAAGAAGTAAAGCTCATTGTACTATTATAGCTTCGAATGTTTTCAAGAAACTTCTTTCTATCACATGTTCTATAGTTCAAAAGCTCAGCAATTCCTGTAGGTGTTGGCTCAATTTGGGGGAGAACATGCTTTCCTTTGTTACAACACATAGAGAACGTGGGGCTTCTTAAAGAAGAACGACTGTTTTTTTCATGTGCCCACATCATTGCCCCACAAAATCGACACTCGATATCCATATCTCCCCTGTTATCAACTGCTGGTTCTGAAATAGCTGGAAGTCGGGCAATATTATTCAAGCCTCCGCCTCGATTTCTAGATCCTCTTGCTCTGCTACTGTTATTGTTTGGACAAAATCTGCTTGTAATTCGGCGATGATCAGTTCCGTTACAGTGAGGACAATGAGGTAAAATTTATCCTCTATTCACAGTTGAAATCTCCTCGACTTCTTCTTCTCTTCCAGTCACTTCTTCGTCAGATGAAGTTACCTCGACTTCTTCTTCTCTTCCAGTCACTTCTTCATCGGATGAAGTCTCCTCAATCTCTTCTTCCATGACTGCTTCAAGAACTTCAGTAATAGTCTCATTTGCGAGTGGAAATTCAGTCAACTCAGAAACTGAAATAGAAGTCGATGTTTCTATGTCCAAATTTTGGTCTTGGACAGGCTCACTTCTTATTCTCAAGGCAGCAGCTATTTTTTATAAACACATTTATTATTAAAAAATATATATAATACTTGCAGTAATACGCATAAGTGTATAAATAAATAGTTACTTTGGCTACTTTCTGCAGGATATTCATCTACATTAGTTCTCTTTTGAGGAATGTGGAGAGAAATGTTCTTTGGGTTCATGAGACATTGCTTATGAGTACTTCTGCTATGTCCAAGCATATGGCAAGCAGCACAACGACGTTGAGTAGATGACATTTTATTTTTCGGTTTTTTTTTTCAAAGTTAGAGTTTGGTTTGATAGTTGTATAAGTTTTTTGGCAATAGTTTGTAAAATAAATTCAAGGGGTTAATATCTCGGTATATCATGTGACATAGTAATGTCAGGAGCGGATTGGAATTGGCACTCAGTTCCAATCCTACCCAATCAGGAACAACTACTCCAACCGCAGTAGTTGGGTGAGCAAGGCCAAGAAGAAGAAGACAACCATTGCTCAGCAAGATACCGCAGCAAAAGGACTTAGCTAGAATCTAGGATACTGCGGCATCTTATAAATTAATATAAATATCACAAATATTATCACAAATAAACATTATCTTTATCTTCATATTTCATTCTATCTTATTATCTTATTGTGTGACTTCTCGCACATTACAGTAAAAGTGCTAGATTTTAGATGTGAACAGATGTTTTACAGGCAAATTCGTATATCAAGTGATGCTGCTAATTTTGATTGATTTTAGATATATAGATTATTATCAATCGGTGGTGCAGACAGCCTTTGTGTACCCAATAGTAAAAGAACCATAGCAGGGCCTATTTACAGGGATACTGTTATTCATACGGAGGTTTAAATACCGCCCAGTGTTCACGTACAGTCGTTGAGAGAGGATAGTATATTAATGTGACCTTCACTGCGCCATAATCAAAACAAAAAAAATCTTTTTTAATGATAGCTTGAATCTTCTTTCGACATTCCCTACATTCCTCCATCCTTGTCAACGATCTTCATTCCTGTTGGGAATCGTCATTCATACAATATTGCAACTTAAAGTTGACAGAAACTGTCGCAATATAAAAAGAGAGCACACTCTTTTAAAAAAAAAATCAAAAGACTATTTATTTTATCTTTTTGACGACTGTTCACTGTATACGCGGCTCCAACAAAAATAAGCCCTTGGTCAAATCTTTGTGTCCCTATAAACTTCTCAACGCTTTAAAAATCGACGGTCACCTCCACAGTAACGTTTTCTTTTTTCAAACTTGCACTAGCAACCGCTTTACACTGCTTTCAAAGTCGACGGTCATCCTCACAGTATTGTTTTCTTTTTTCAAACTTGCACTAGCAACCGTTTCACACTGCTTTCAAAGTCGACAATCATCACCACAGTATCGTTTTCTTTTTTGAAACCTGTACCAACACTAGCTTCGCCGCACTATCCAAATTGGAACCGATAACCACAGTACCATTTTCTTTTTTGAAACCTGTACCAGCAATAGCTTTGCCGCACTATCAAAATTGAAGCCGATAACCACAGTATCATTTTCTTTTTTGAAACCTGTACCAGCACTAGCTTTGCCGCACTATCAAAATTGAAACTGATAACCACAGTACCATTTTTTTTTGAAACCTGTACCAGCACTAGCATAGTTGCACTATCAAAATTGACATCAACAAGCATACTATTTCTTTACTTTATTACAACAGTAAAATAAAAATTGAAATAGAAGCCATATAACAAAACTTCAACACTCAAAAACAATACTATTTTCTTCTACACTTAGAGTGTCATACACTGCCATTCTCAGAATTGGCTTTCAACTTTCGCACATATACACTATTCATATCATCACACTTCTGAAACCTTCTCATTCCATTCCATCGCATATAGCTTTCAAAGCTTTTGACTTTTAGTATATTTTTGTGTGACTGATTCTAAATTAGGCGGACACCACCAAGCACAACAGCCCACTATAGAAATTTATTTTTTTTATTAGTGTACACCATGAATGTCAAAGCTCTGTCACATGGACCACATACACGGACCATCTACAAATATTGTCTACAAATAACATCTTTCTTTAACCCACTACTTATTCTTCACTATATGAAAAGAATATACAGCTATTAAAGCTTTATACTTTTAAATAAAAGTAAAATAAAATAAAATCACAGTCTTGTTCTCATATATTATATTAGATTATATTATTTTATTTCATATACTCTTAATAATAAATTGAATTTTAATTTTAATTTTACACCAATAATTTTTAGAAAGAATATATTTATAATTCTCTTTCTTTTTGCTTTATTTTTCTGTTTGTGCCTGTGCTCATGTTTGTTTTGATTGTTTTCTGATAGGTATATCTTTCTTGTATAAGCTTTGTAAAATATATTATACTAAAACTTATATTAAATAGAATGAATGGGTTATAAAATAATATAAAAAAGTAACAAATTATGTACACGGTAGAATTTAATACTCAAGATATATATTATTTATTAGTCAACCAATAAAGGGTGAGTATGCACAATGAGCAAAACGCATATAGTTTAACCAATAAGTAATGAGTATGCGCAATGAGTAAAACGCATATAGTTTAACCAATAAGTAATGAGTATGTGCAATGAGTAAAATACATATAGTTTAACCAATAAATAATGAGTATGCGCAATGAGTAAAGTACATATAGTTTGACCAATAAGTAATGAGTATGTGCAATGAGTAAAATACATATAGTTTAACCAATAAGTAATGAGTATATATGATTATTAACTACATTAAACTCTTGGCTGTAAACTAAAGTAAACTTGTATGATTACTAAGATATGTATTTTTAGTCAACCAATAAATAATACATATGCATCATTATTAAGAACTATATATCTTTGCAAACCAGTAAAGCATGTAGCTTCACTATGAGTAAGAAATATTTCATTGGTTAAAAGACTAGTAGATATGCAAGATTAAACAGAGCTATATTCTCAGTTAACCAATAGAGAGTAAATATTCATATTCATAAGACATATATTTTTAGTCAACCAATAAATAGTAAATGTATATCATTATTAAGAACTGTATTTTTTGCTAACCAATAAAGAATGCAGCCTCAAGATTTGTAAAGTTGTTTTGCAGCTAAATCAAGAAAGGTGCATATGCAAGATGAATGAGAATTAAAATTTCCGTTAACCAATAAAAAAAAGAATAGATAATATCAGCAGCATGATTCTGTCCGGATCGGCCGCCTATTACGTTCGATCTGGACTGAATGGATATTTCCGACAATCTCGGACCACCAGAATCCAAAAGAAAATAATATTGTAAAAACATATACGATAGTAATAATAACTTTATTTTCTTATAAATATAAAGCTTGTATCATATATCTCTCAAATAATTTCAAAATAACCCATATATCTTGTCTCCTCAAGATTCTAATTAAAATTATATCGGTTTTAAGTTATAGATAATAATACAATATACATTTTAATATATTCTTATAACCGATTTGTTCTACGATATATATATAGTAATTGTTCACAATTACATGGTTCTTTTTTTTTGTTAATACTTTAAATGTATGATAGGCACTATATATATATATATATATATTCATACAGGTAAAGCTATGTTTTCTAGTGTGTTTAATATATGCAGTACTATCTAGGTGCGGACCGATTTTTTTATAATTACACTTGGTGGAATTTAATCAAAGAATAATAACCTACAGAATATTATTATCGAGTTATTTTGAAACAGTCGGTATTTATTGTCAAAATTTTACCCTATAACTATATATATAAATTGCTATTGTATCTTGAATATACTATTAGGTATATATATATATATATATCTTCTTCTTCTTCTCTTCAACATACACTGATACAGACATACACCAGGAATCACTATCAATCTATATATTTATATATAGCTCTTACTTTATTTTAGATATACTGTTCAGCCTATTTTCTTTCTTCCCTTCAACACACGCACATGCACACGCACATGCACACGCACATGCACATGCACACGCACTTGCACACGCACTTGCACACCCTCAGAGATCTCTCTACCAGTCAATTGGCTGCACCAATACAAAATATACGATATTGTCTATTTCGTTTTATGTCTTTTTACAAACTAAGGGTGCTAATTGGTAATTCGGACAGTGTGCGCTTTTTTGTAAACTGGTATTACCAATCGGTGGTGCAGACAGCCTTTGTGTACCCGATCGTAAAAGAACCATAGCAGAGCCCATCGACAGGGACACTGTTATCCATATGGAGGTTGAAATACCATTTAGTATTCACTCAAAACTATTTGGAGAGAAGTGTGTATTAAAATAACCTTTGCTGTACCGCAACCAAAACAAAAAAA